TGGATTTAAAAAACTGAAAAACTACTGCGTGCTTAGTTATCATGGAATTTCAGTATTTCCATTTTGTTTCCTTTTAGTCGCCCTTTTTGTTTAGTCACCTAACATGAACCAAAACCCATTCACTAATTGAGGTGGTACTTCAGTTATCCCACTCTCGTACTCCAAATCCCTAAAAAGATTTCTCATTTTTATTTTTTTCTTATTATTCGATTTGAGTGGGAACGAAGGAAATGACAGGACCGAATGGTGGGTTCAGGAGTTAAGCATGGAAAACTCATACCTCCATGGCATTGGTTAAACTCATCAATGGGGGCAATCATGTAATTACCAAAGTAGCCCTCATTGTTGGCGTCAACCGGCTTATCTTGTGCGTCTTTCGTGATCTTTTTTCTCTCTCGATTCTTGCCCCCATCTTCTATATTAATGAAAAGTATGACTTTTTCCTTTTTTAATTTGGGTTTGACCTTATAATTAGTGATTGATCGATCTGTTCCCATTAAGAGGATTAACATAGTATCTGCAACTAAATTCACTACTTTTGTCGGCTTGTACTCGACTCTTGTAAATGATGTATACTATTTTTGGTCTATGTTTCTTGAGTTTTTGGTTGCTTGGATCTAGAATCAAACTTCTAGGTCTTGTTTGTTCACTTTCCTATAGAAGGATTCAACCTCCCATGACTAAATGCCTCCTCCTATCATTCTTCTTTCTTTGGTTAATTTTTATTGTGGATAAATCGAACTTTATTATTCAAGAAAACAGTTCATACACTGCTACAAATAACAAAACCAATCAAAATCAAAACAACCCCCTAATGAGCAAGAATGCCCCAAGTTGTACAAAGATTGCAATTAATCACATCTTGACCAATAGTCTGCCTATGAACACTCAACCTAACAATCTCTTTAATGGTATCAACAACATCCCCAAAATTCCTACTAATCCCCCTAAATTGTCTTCGATTTCATTCCTCACAAATGCAGTAAATAAAAGCACACCAAGTAACCTTCAAAATGTGAACAATAAGAGATTTACCCTTTAGGTAAGCCACTGCTCATCCAAGCTCCTCTTCCCAATTCCCCACAGACCTTTGAATCCTAAAAAGCCCAAGGATAACCTCTCAAACCCTGCTAGTAAAAGAATATTAAAAAAATATGAATACAAGCATCTAAACCACCCTCTCCACACAATCTACAACCATCATCAACGTTAAATCCCATCCTCTTCAGACAATCCACAGTAGGGAGTCTATCAAGAACAACCATCCAAGCAATGAGAGAATTCTTAGGAAAATAAAAGGAAAACCAGATGAGTCTATGCCAATCAACCTTAGGTCTCCTATCCCTAATCTCATTTCACCACCACCGGGCAGAGAACTGAGCCCCATCAGAAACTAAAAGACGAGTCTCATCTCTAAGCTTCAGCACCTTCCTCAGCACCCAACTAAAAGAGACATTGCTTTCCACTTGCCATAAATCTTTACCCTTAAAGACATAACTTTGCACCCAAGCAACCCACAAAGAAACTCAAAAGCAAGCAAATTCTTCAGCAACACCAACACACAAACTTTGTTCCAACAGACTAAACTTTTCACACCCAAACCACCCTCAGCCTTGGGAACACAAATACTACCCTAACTCACTCTAGTACCCTTGGCAGACACATCCCCACCTTTCCAGAAAAATCTAGACAATAACTGCTCAACATTCCTTATAACAACAACAGGTAAAATCAGTTGCCTGCACCAAAAATTGGCAATGTTAAATAGCGCAACCTTCACCAATTGCAATCTACAAACATAAGAGAACCATTTGTTAGACCAAAGCCCTAGTTTAGCCTTCTTCTTTTCCACCAAACCGAGTAATCCTTAGCAGACAACTTATGAGTCACCAAAGGGACCCCCAAATACTTAAAGGCAAGCTACCCATTTTAAAACAAGTAACCTCCTGTCAATCCACCAAATCAACGTACATACCAGAAACAAACATTTTAGTCTTTGAAACATTAAGCTTAAGGCCCAAAAATTCATAAAACTTCTCCAGAACCCCCTTAACCCCCAAGATGGAATCCAAAGACCCCTCGCAAAAAATAATGACATCATTAGAAAAAGAAAAATATGTTAACCCCACCTTCCTACACTTAGGGTGATAAGAAAAACTCTCCTAGCAGTAGCAACCTCCAAAAGCCTAGACAACACATTCACAACAAGAACAAACATGTGGGGGGAAGAGAATCCCCATGTCTAACCCCCTTTCACCCTTGAAATATCCCACAAAAGAACCATTCAAAGAAATATAATACCTAGCACCAAAAACACAAGCCTTGATCCAATAACAAAATTGATCAAAAATCCTTAGCCCCTTCAAAACACTACAAATAAAACCCCAACTAAGAGAGTCAAAAGCCTTTTGAAGGTCAGCTTTAATAGCACACCTAGGGGAAAGTCCCTTCCTACTATAACCTTTGACAATTTCCTAGGCAGGAAGAGTATTATCAATTATATTTCTACCCTTAGAAAAGGTAGACTGACTAGAAGATACCATATTAGGGATATAAGGAGCGAGTCGACCCACCAGGACCTAATAATAGTTTTGTAAACGACTGAGCAATACGAGATAGGCCTAAAGTCTTTAGCCAAACTAGAATTGGGGATTTTAGGAACCAAAGTTATGGTAGTAGCATTAAAAGCAGAAAGTAAGCTAGAAAAAACAAAGAAATGTTTAACAAAAGCCACAAAATAACTTCCCACAATATCCCATTCAACTTGAAAAAACCCCGACGTAAAACCATCAGGCCCCGGAGCCTTATCTTTCCCATGAAAAAACAAAGAAACTTCCCTAACCAGACTCTCCCCTACCTAAGCATGCATAGAGTAATCAAGCAATTCTTCCAAAACATCCATATTACAGCCCACAACATTAACATCAGCATTCCCCATCTGCTTAGTAAAATACCTCACTAACTTAGAAGAGCTTCAAAAGAATCCAATCTATTTCCATCATCATCAAGTAAATTTTAAATAGTATTACACTTCTTTTTCACTGCCACATGAGAGTGAATTTTTTTTTGCACCTATCACCCTCATGTAACCAAGCTATCTTATCTTTCTATAGATAAAACAATCTCTCAGCCCTTTCCAGATCTTCAAGCTCCAAATGCAAATATTTTCCTCGGCCACACTACCTAAATTAGGGTTAGACAAAATCAGGGCTTTTTACCTCTCCAATTGCCCCTTTTCTCAATATCCTTGCTAGAAATATCAACATATTTCTCATGATTAAACTTCCTCAACATAAGCTTAAGTCTTTTGAGTTTACAAAATTTACTGATTTTATGAGAAAATATGTCAATATAAGCGCTACCTATTACATTATATAAGTGTTACCTAATGTGTTATTGTACTTGGTAATATTTTCGGTTAAATGTCTATTTTATTATATAAGCGCTACCTATTACATTATATAAGCGTTACCTAATATGTTATTGTGTTTTATAATATTTCTAGTTAAATGATATAACATAACCGGTCTAAATTTTAACCGGTCACGCCGTTTTTTAGCCGTTTTTTAGGCGCCGCACAGCAGAAGTACCCGTATGCTATAAGTTTCTTCTGGATTTTAGAGAATCTCAAATCTTAAAAAATATGCGGCATGTTTCTCAAAGTCTTTGGCCTCAATACTCGATCTGCTAGTGTTATCATAACAACCAAGGCTGTGGAAGTATAAGAAAAGTTATCTGATATGTGTGGATGTTAGGCTTTGGCAGGGGGTTGCAGCATCAGCTCTTACCAACGGACTTGTGACATGGTCGAACAAGATCTTCGGGCCGGCTTTAGTGGCTCTTTATAATCCGCTTCTACCTTCAGTATCAGCCTTTATGTCGAGAATTTTCCTGGGTTCCGATTTATTTGGGAAGGTTTTATTTCCGTCTATTCCACTACAAATTATAATTTAGATCTCTCATCTAGTACAAAAATAGTGCTTATATATATATATATATATATATATGTATGCATATATTCACCTGGTTTGGTTTTGTTTCATATGTGTTGACAGTGTTATTCGGTGGATTTATAATAATCGCCGGTCTATATATGGTCACTTGGGCATCCTATAGAGAAAGACACGCGGCCATGGCAGTGATGCCTCAGATTGTTCAGTCCTCCGAACCACTTATTCCCAAATACGCATCAAGCAACAAGAGCCACCGGTGAACGCGCATTTTCTCGGAACCTCTGTTTTGTCATGAAATAGTGGTTAAGTGTATAATAAGATCCATGACCTCTTTTCCACATGTACATTACAAAGATCAAATGGCGTCACTTTGATGGGCAGCAAAAGAGGGATTTATTAGATGCATGTTCAAAATGTAACAGAGAACGCTCCGAGGATGGTTTGCTCCTTTTATGCTGTCTGAATTTGTTGTAAGAAACAGACTTCTTTTTTCCCCCCCCTTTTTTGATGACATAAAACAACAGACTCGCTTATTGGAATGGGAAATAAGCGTAATCCCAGTGGTAAATATATGGTTTCCTATTAACCCCAGTGGCATGCAGTGCATATGCAGTACAGTTATGCATTGTAATAATTACCCTCACTGAATCCCCAAATCAAGTGAACAGCAAGCTTTTGCACAATGCAAATTTGGGTTTCATGGCCATTGCGGATGTGAATTCTCCTTATTAGATTGTTGTTGAAAGTTTCCACCATCCCCCAATTATAGGAAAAATGATTTTATCCTTCCCCAACTATGTTAATAATTAGTCAACAAAATCTTGAACCAGTATTGCCATTCAAAGGATGACTTTTTTTTTCATTTTTCTCTTAAGAAGTAGATTGATTCGAATTAAAAAAATCAATATTTGTCATTAACATTCGTACTATAAATAAATTTTAAGAAAAAAATTGGAATATAAAATGTGTTTTTTGCTATGTGCCTGGTTGGTTGTTAGCTAACTACCACAAATTGTCTCCTTTAAGACAGACACCCAGTCATTCATTGAGGTTGTAATTCAGTTTTCCAACTCTCCTGTTCAAAATTACCAAAAATATCTCTTTTTTTTAATTTTCCCTTTCTTCTAATTCCTTGCTCACCGATTAGAGTGGGAAGGAAGGACATGGCGGAAGCTAATGGCGGGTTCGAGAGGGAAGCATGGAAAGCTCATGCCTCCATGGCTTTGGTTCAATTCATCAATGGAGGCTATCATGTAATCACCAAAGTTGCCCTCAATACTGGCATCAACCAGCTTGTTTTCTGCGTCTTCCGTGATCTTCTTGCTCTTTCAATTCTTGCCCCCATCGCCTATGTTACTGAAAAGTATGACTTTTTTTTTTCTTTCATCTCTTTCTCTGGGTTGACCTTATCAATAATTTGTTAAAAAAAATTGGGCCCTTTATTTTCTCTTCGTTCGAAGGCTTGGTTATGCATTGATTGAATCATAGCTCGATGCTTTAATTTGTTTGACCTTATATTTAGTGATTGATCGATCTGTTCCCAGATGATCGACATGGTATCTGCAGCTAATTTAATTGCTTTTGTTGGCTTGTATTCTATTCTTGTTAACGATTCATACTATTTTTAGTCGATTTTAACATCTCTGCTTCATAATATTTTGGTTGCTTGTGCTCTGTTCTTGTCTGTTGACTTTCCTGCAGAAGGATTCGACCTCCTATGACTAAACGCCTCCTCCTATCATTCTTCTTTCTTGGGTTAACTGGGTGAGTTTCACTTTATCTAAACCAATCCTGGTTGATCTGGGAATATGTTGTATTGTGCCTGATTGGTCAACTGGAATAGGATATTCGGGAACCAGCTTTTATTCCTCATTGGTCTGAGCTACACGAATCCTGCTTATGCCTCTGCCATACAACCTTCAATTCCAGTCTTTACCTTTCTCTTTGCTGTAATGATGGGGTAATAGCACAACCTTCAATTTCTATATTTCTGTCTGTTACTTTTTGCCTTAATTTGTTTGAAATTGTACCTGCAGTACAGAAAGAGTGAATTTGCTCAAAACTGAGGGTCAAACAAAGGTTGGAGGTACCATAATCTGTGTTTCTGGCGCATTGTTAATGGTTCTGTTTCGTGGTCCGGCTTTGCTTGGACAGCCAAATGAAGACTTTGCTTCCCTAAGTGACATAAGTGCCAGTGGTCAACCGGAGATTGCTGGATGGCTTATGTCTAGTTTTCTTGAGTTCGGACTTGATCATTGGCATATCGGAGTTCTATGCTTGATAGGGAACTGTATTTGCATGGCTGCTTTCCTGGCCATTCAGGTATGCTATATGCTTGATGGTTCTGTTCTTTGCTTGTAGTAGGTTAGGTGTCTCATCTGCGAAGCGAATCGAAAAGAAATCTGAGTAAAACTAAAGAGGGAACGGCCTGTGTGGCCTTGAATATGATTTGAGGTTTGATATGCCACCCTTGTTCCCTGACCTGTTCGATACGTGACTCGATAGAATTATAGTGATCCAATCCCATTCCACTAAACCGTCTTTAAGATTATATAATTAGATCATCTTGTCTGTAACCAATCCTCTTAGGAAGCTAACTTTTTAGCTTCCATCATAAATCTATTATTGGTTTCAATTTCGGCATTTCAAATGCCTTTAGGTCCATTACAATGCTTTTTGATGCCTGCTGAAATCATTTCCTGGTGTAACCATTTGTGGAGCTTTCCGGTTGTCTTTGTCTGGACAACACTATCTTTTGTAGTTTTGCTTAGTGCCTTTCACTAGTAGCAAGGGAGTGGTTCTTATAAATTTTTCATCATTAACTTGTTGTACAACTTATGATGTGTATTTTGTTCATTAATTACTTGTTTATCTGAAATTTTACTGTCTCTAACACTTCCAGGCTCCGGTTTTAGTTAAGTATCCCGCCAACATTTCCGTGACCGCGCTTTCCTACTTTTTCGGTGCTTTATTGATGGTAGTGACATCATTTCTTGACACCAATGAGTCAACAGATTGGCATCTGAAACGGTCCGAGCTTCTTGCCGTTGTGTATGCTGTAAGTTTCTTATGATCTTCATAGGATCTCAAATCTTAAAAACCTGATACGCGCGCATGTTCTTAAATCTTCGGACTCGATACTCAAAATGCTAGTGTTATCATAACAACCATGGCTGTGGAAGTACAAGAAAAGTTATCTGATATATGTGTGGATTTTTGGCTTTGGCAGGGAGTAGCAACATCGGCTCTTAACTACGGACTCGTGACATGGTCGAATAAGATCTTGGGGCCGGCTTTAGTATCTCTCTATAATCCACTTCAGCCTGCGATATCAGCCTTTCTGTCGAGAATTTTCCTGGGAAGTCCGATTTATTTGGGAAGGTTTTATTTCTGTCTATTCCCCTAAAAACTAGAACCTAAACCCCTCATCTAGTACAAAATTAGTTCTTAAGTATATATATTCACTTGGTTTGGTTTTGTTTCACGTGTGGTAACAGTGTTATTGGCGGATTCCTGATAATCGCCGGTCTATATATGGTCACTTGGGCATCCTACAGAGAAAGACGCACGGCCACGGCTGTGATGCCTCAGATTGTTCAGCCCTCCGAACCACTTATCCCGAAATATGCGTCAAGTAACAAGAACCCGTCCGTTTTCTAGGAACCATATGTTTTGTCACCGATATCCGGTGATTAAGTGTGTAATCCGATATGGTGTGAAGTTCCATGACCTCTTTTCCACTGTATATTAGTTTGATGGGGTAGCAAAAGAGAGATTCATTAATGTTCAAGTTCAAAATGCAACCGATGAGGATGGTTTGCTCCTTTGATGCCTGCCTGAATCTGTTGTAAGAAACACAGTTTGATTTTATGTTATTGAACAATAAATTCAGTTATTGGATTGGGAAATAAGCCTAACCCCAGTGGCAAATACATGGTTTGGTTTCCTAGTAATCCCAATGGCGTGTAGTGCATGTGCAGTGCAGTTGTACACCATAATAATCAGACTCCCTGAATCCCCAAATTTACTACTTACAATAACCAGGCAACACAACCCTGACATAAGCTTATTATTTATTACTGGATTTTATCATAGAGTGGAAATATATATATATATATATATATAGTATATCATATGTGTAGGGGTGTTTATCGAGTGAGTCGATCACGAGTTGAATGGTGCTAGACTCAAATCAAAAAATTGTACGACATGTGTTCGACTAGATATTTCATAAACTCAATAAAATTTTAGTGGACTCATGCTCGTTAAAAGAATTTGTTAATTGACTCGACTCGTTAAGCTCGTCAGAATTTTTACTTGTTTTTAAATATATGTAAAATCTAATAATACTATAGAGTTTAATATAAATGTAAATTAAAATTTTTAACAAAAGTATTAAAATAGTGTGTGAAGGAATTCCAAAATTTAAACTCTAAAGTAACAATCCACAAATATACTAAATTAATATATTACAACCAAAGTAACAATCTACAAATATATCAAACTAACATATTACAACCGAACCAAAGTATTAATAAATACATCAAACTAACATATTATAATATTTTTGAGAAAATTAACAATACAGAATTAAATCTAAAGACAAGACAAACGTATTCTAAAAAATTATTAAAAAAAATAATCGTATGACATATTATATTACCTATGACAAAAACTGTCTAATTAATCGTATTTTCATATTATGACATAAAAATAATTTGGTTAATAAAAAGATATTGGATTTAAAAAAATTAAACGATATTTTTACGTAAAAACCAGCATTCAAATCAATGTGATTTTAATATGAAAAATAAAGAAATTTAAGATGTCAAGTAGTAGGATTTAGTAGGTAGATAAATGATCAAATATATCAAAATTAATAAACTGAAAAAGAATATATTGTCATTAATTTGTTAGGACAATAATCTTATCAATAAAATTGTTTGTTTATTTATAAAAGGATAAAAAAATCCCATAACAAAACTTTCCTGATTTGAGGGATGAAAGGGAAAATATTATAGAATAAGTGGGCGAAAATGTTCTCAACAAATAAAACATCAAATAGAAAAATAGATGTGGAGGAGAAATTGACTAACAACAACTTGAAGGGTTCAATGTAGAAATATGGAAAAATATGGGGGTAACTCATGGAATTCCAGTGAAATAAATATTTTAGAAACTGAAAATTTTTGCCAAAACAAATATAAAAAAGGAATGAAACAAAAAACGTAACCTTTTTGTGTCTTGTTTCCGGAGGATTTGTACAGAAACTGGAAGGAAAAGAAGAAAAGGAGAGAGACCCAAAGGCGAAAAAGTATTACGTTTTCATTGGATATGAGATACCGAATCCCCAACCGACAGTTCGATTGCGGAACAATTTTGGTCGAGTTTTGATTTTCAAAGATTGCGAAGAAGGAGGCGGAGATCTGAGCAACTGCCGTTATCAACCTTGTCTGGAGGTATTCCTAGAACTTGGTTTCAGTCATTCACTTATAATTCTAGAATTTGTTGGAGATCAATCTTTCTTTTGTGCGCACCTCAACATCTTGAATGAATTTTGCGAAATGGACATGATTTTATGTGTACATTTTGTTGTCGGTTTTCAATCCTCATGTTTGTTTTCTTGTCTCTTGCACCAACCGATTAATATATCAAAATCCATCAATTTGTTAGTTTTGCAGCTGATTTGGTTTTATGATTAGGATTCGTGATCATTTGTCTTACCTGCTTGGTTGTCAAATTGCGGTACCTTCGTTCACTGGCGTTTTTTGCCAAAATCAATGTAATCTTCGAATACAATTCCATTGCCAGTGCGACTTTGATGTTGGCTGTCTCAGATAGTATTCAAACAGCACAGCAGGTAAATTAGAAATTTCGACACTGGCAAAATATGCCCAGTGAAAAGCTGTTAATTTGTTTTGCAAATAGAATTAATGGTACTTAGTAGAATTGCAGAATCGATATCTGGTGGATCAAATCTTTTATTTGCTACACGGTCTTCTGTAGCTTCATACATGCCGCCTGCTTTGTCACCACATTCGGATAAAAATGTTCTCCATGGGTTTGGTTTTGCCAAATCTGGAAACAAAAATAATCTGCGCCTCTCTGCATCACTCCAAGATTTCTCATCATATCACCGTTTTGATCCAGAAGCAGCTAATCTTATTCCTGAAATTGACAAGAGCATGACCTATTCGAAACACCCTCTACAGAGAGAAAATGTTGCGGCGAGTTTCTCGAAGGAGAAGGGTTTTCCGGGTGGAACCCCTTTTATAATGAGAAAGCGGGTGCGGTTCATCATGGTTTTCTTGTGCCTACTCTTCTTCATTTTTTTTGCATACATGGTTTGCATGCATATTTATTCAAATTGGCCCACAGGAGCCTCCAAGTTTTATGTTGTTCTTGATTGTGGAAGTACTGGAACTAGAGTGTACGTATATCAGGCTTCAATTGATCACAAGAATGATGGTAGTCTGCCTATTGTCATGAAATCATTAACCGAAGGTCTTTCTAGAAAGCCAAGCACACAAAGCGGACGTGCTTATGATAGGATGGAAACTGAGCCTGGCCTTCAAAAGTTGGTGCACAATAAATCTGGCTTAGCAACTGCAATAAAACCACTTATTTCATGGGCAGAGAAGCAAATTCCTCAAAGTGAGCATAAGAATACCCGTCTTTTCCTCTATGCTACAGCTGGAGTTCGCAGATTGCCTAATGCTGATTCAAAATGGCTTCTGGAAAATTCTTGGTCAATACTAAAGCATTCACCTTTCTTGTGCCGCAGAGAGTGGGTAAAGATTATCAGTGGGACAGAGGAAGCTTACCTTGGGTGGACAGCCCTTAACTACCTCACAGGCATGTTGGGAACAACCCCTAAGAAGGCAACATTCGGTGCACTTGATTTGGGTGGATCATCATTACAAGTTACATTTGAGAATGAGCACCGTCAACATAATGAAACCAATTTAAACCTTAAAATCGGAACGGTTAATCATCATCTTAGTGCCTACTCTCTGTCTGGCTATGGCTTGAATGATGCATTTGACAAGTCTGTAGTTCATTTATTAAGGAGGCTTCCGGATGGCTCCATTGCCAACCCGGTAAACGGAAAGATAGAAATTAAACATCCTTGCTTGAACTCTGGCTATAATGAACAATATATTTGTTCGCAATGTGCTGCAAAAGACCAAGGAAGTGGGAGTCCTTTAGTTCAAGGGAAAATTTTGGATAAGGGAGGAAAATCTGGAATTCCAGTGCAGCTTATTGGTGTTCCAAATTGGGAGCAATGCAGTGCAATTGCCAAAGCTTCTGTCAATTTATCTGAATGGTCGAATCTTTACCCAGGGATTGATTGTGATTTGCAACCTTGTGCGCTTTATGATAGCTTGCCTCGCCCTTATGGCCAGTTCTATGCTTTATCGGGCTTTTTTGTTGTATACCGGTTCTTCAGTTTGTCCCCAGAGGCTGCACTTGATGATGTACTGGAGAAGGGTAGGGAATTTTGTGAAAAAACCTGGGAAGTAGCCAGAAACAGTGTTGCTCCACAGCCCTTTATTGAACAGTATTGCTTTAGAGCACCATATATAGTATCACTGTTAAGAGAGGGCTTGCACATCTCAGACAAACAACTTGTCGTTGGTTCTGGAAGTATCACTTGGACAATGGGTGTTGCATTGTTGGAAGCTGGGAAGTCATTTTCAAGCAGACTAGGGCTCCATGGATATCAAATATTGCAGAGCAAGATTGATCCAATGATCCTTATTGCCATTGTTTTAATGTCATTGGTTTTACTTGTTTGTGCATTATCATGTGTTTGTAATTGGATGCCAAGATTTTTCCGGAGGCCATATCTTCCACTTTTCCGGCATAACAGTGCATCTTCATCTGTTCTTAATATACCATCTCCTTTCCGGTTAAAGCGCTGGAGTCCTATGAGCTCAGGTAAGATCTATTGTATGACGTATTATTTGGGTCATAATTTACCGCTTTTCTTGGCTATGTTTTCCATGTGAGAGAAATAACCTCTCAAATATGTTAATGGATACCTTCCTTCCATGCAAGGATGCCTACAATCAAATTTTAGTCACAGCTGTCCATCTGCATAATGGTTATGCTCCAAAACTGGCTACAAAAGCAATGATGCTGATTTGTTGTTAAGATTTTTGAATGCACGCCTTACAAACCGACAGTTTTTATAGATGCGTCAAGAATATTTTTAAGGACATGGATATGACTAATGATGAAGTTATTCATCTCCCGTGTCTTATTACTTGGATTCTCAGAATTTGCAGTTTGCATTACATATCTTTGAGCACTCAAAAAGTACCTCAGTTTCAACGATTTTTTGGACCCAATATTTTGGATCTGATATTGCGCTCAGCTATTTGGTTAACTACAGGATCCATTAACTTACATTAATGAACTTGAAGTGTCTTTTCAGTGTATGAACCTAAGTAATTAATATGAAACTAATTATTTGGTATAGATGTTCTTGAATGTTGTTGCCCTTGCGCACTTCTTTTTACTTGGCTTTGTTATGATTGTTTCTATGATCCTCATTCTCTCTCTTTTACAGGGGATGGAAGAATTAAGATGCCCCTAAGTCCCACTGTTGAAGGTGGTCAACAAACACCGTTTGGCTTGGGACATGGTCTGGGAAGCAGCATCCAACTCACTGAGTCTTCCCTGTACTCCTCAACCAGCAGTGTTTCACATAGTTATTCCTCCAGTAGCCTGGGGCAGATGCAATTTGACAGTAGTAACATGGGTTCCTTCTGGTCTCCTCACAGAAGTCAGATGCGACTGCAAAGTAGGAGATCACAATCACGAGAAGACCTTAACTCCTCACTA